ATACCATTTCTGTCCTTTATTGTGCCCTTCTTTGCATGAAATGTTCCCTTGGTATCTCTGATTTTCTTGAAGAGATCTCTAGTCTTTCCCATTCTGTTGTTTTCCTCTATTTCTTTGCATTGTACACATTACTTTTGAGCATATACCTGAAAATCATATACTTTTGAGTGTATTTCTTATCATTGTATAACACATTACCCTAAGCTTAGCAGCTTAAAACAACAACAAATATGTATTGTCTCAAAGATTTTGAAGGTTAGAAATTCAGGAACAGCTTAGCTGGCTATTCTGACTCTTGCCATACTGACCCCTCTACAGGGCTGCTTGAGTGGCCTCCCAACACTGGAGCCCAAGATGAAAGCCACAGTGTCTTGTGTGACCTCGCCTTCATTTCCGTGATGTCCTCCTGGTTACACGTGACAGCTTCACTCACTGTGGGCGGGGACTACACAAGGACATCCATACCACGAGTACCCTTAGGGCTGTCTTGAATGCTGGTGCCACAGTAGGTTTTAAGGCATGGTTATAAGAACTTGCTGCTTGCTGTTTTCCAAAGTGCTTACATATTCTTCTCTGTTCCTGCCGGCACTACAGGAAAAGTCTGTTTGCTCCACATTTTCATCAGTTGTTTTTAATTTTAGCTATTTTGGCAGATTACAATCATTTTTTGAGGCCTGTTTTCATTTAGATACAGAATTCTCGGTTTTCAGTTATTGCCTCTCAGGCCTTTGAATATAATGTATCCCATTTTTGTATGACTTCATCTGTTTTGATTGAAGTCAGGTGTCAGTCTTGTTGCTGTCTCAATACTAACGTGTCATTTTCTTCTTCTGGGAGCCTTTGAGATTGCTTTTTTGTCTCTAGGTTCCAGCAGTCTGTCTTTGATATGCCTAGGTGAGATTTTTGTTATATTCATTCTGCTTGGGTTCATAGGATATCTTGAACCTGTGGTTTAATGCCTTTTAAGTTGGAAAATTCTCAACCATTATCTCTTCAATATTGTTCCATTTTCTCTCCTCAAATTCTCAGACTGCTACTACATATAGGTTAGAGTTTGTGTGTGTGCCTCTTCCCCTCTTCTATATTTTCCTTTTTTTTTTCTCCATGCCTTAGACTAGGTATTTTCTCCTAGCCCTTCATCCAGTTTATTAATCACTTTTTCAGCTAATTCTAATCTCATTTTAAACCTATCTGTGAAGTTCTTCATTTCAGTTACTATTTTTCTAAAGTTCTAGAATATTGTTGATTTTTTTTAGTGTACCTTTTTTTTTGCTGAAATTACCATACTAATTGCTGTTATCATACGATAACATACGATGTTTTGTTATCTTCATAGTAAATATTGAAAACTATAGTCATTTTTCTATTTATTTACTTACTTGTTGTCTGATCCCACCACTCCATAGTTCTATGAGAAGGGGAACCTTATCCAAAATAACCACTGATGTATCCTCAGTGCCTAGCCCTTAGTTATTTGCTCACTAAAAAAATTTTTTCTTTAATTATAATATTTTTACAGTTGAATACAGCCATCATTTCTCTTTATCAATCTGATTCATTTCAGATCCTCCTTTTATCATCTTCTGCCCTGTTATTTCACTGAAACCACTGTTTCAGAGTTTAACATCAACTCAGTTCAGTTCAGTCGCTCAGTCGTGCTGGACTCTTTGTGACCCCATGAACCACAGCGTGCCAGGCCTCCCTGTCCATCACCAACTCCCGGTGTCCACCCAAACCCTTGTCCATTGAGTTGGTGATGCCATCCAACCACCTTATCCTCTGTTGTCCCCTTCTCCTGCCCTCAATCTTTCCCAGCATCAGGGTCTTTTCCAATGAGTCAGCTCTTCTCATCAGGTGGCCAAAGTATTGGAGTTTCAGCTTCAACATCAGGCCTTCCAATGAATATTCAGTGCTGATTTCCTTTAGGATAGACTGGTTGGATCTCCTTGCAGTCCAAGGGACTCTCAAGAGTCTTCTCTGACACCACAGTTCAAAAGCATCAATTCTCTGGCGCTCAGATTTCTTTATAGTCCAACTCTCATGTCCATACATCACCACTGGAAAAACCATAGCCTTGGCTAGACGGAAACCTTTGTTGACAAAGTAATGTCTCTGCTTTTTAATATGCTGTCTAGATTGTAAGCGTCTTTTAATTTCATGGCTGCAGTCACCATCTGCAGTGAATTTGGAGCCTAGGAAAATGAAGTCAGCCACTGTTTCCACTGTTTCCCCATCTATTTGCCATGAAGTGATGGGACCAGATGCCATGATCTTCGTTTTCTGAATATTGAGCTTTAAGCCAACTTTTTCTTCTTTCACTTTCATCAAGAGGCTCTTTAGTTCTTTTTCACTTTCTACCTTAAGGGTGGTTGTATCTGCATATCTGAGGTTTTTGATATTTCTCCCAGCAATCTTGATTCCAGCTTGTGCTTCCTCCAGCCTAGCGGTTCTCATGATGTACTCTGCATGTAAGTTAAACAAGCAGGGTGACAATTTACAGCCTTGACATACTCCTTTTCCTATTTGGAACCATCTGTTGTTCCATGTCTAGTTCTTTTTGTTTTTTTTTTTTTTTTTCATGTCCAGTTCTACCTGTTGCTTCCTGACCTGCATACAGGTTTCTCAAGAGGCAGGTTAGGTGGTCTGGTGTTCCCATCTCTTTCAGAATTTTCCACAGTTTATTGTGGTCCACACACTCAAAGGCTTTGGCATAGTCAATAAAGCAGAAATAGATGTTTTTCTGGAACTCTCTTGCTTTTTTGATGATCCAGCAGATGTTGGCAATTTGATCTCTGGTTCCTCTGCCTTTTCTAAAACCAGCTTAAATATCTGGAAGTTCACGGTTCATGTATTGCTGAAGCCTGGCTTGGAGAATTTTGAGCATTACTTGAATAGCGTGTGAGATGAGTGCAGTTGTACGGTAGTTTGAGCATTCTTTGGCATTGCCTTTCTTTGGGATTGGAATGAAAACTGACCTTTTCCAGTCCTGTGGCCACTGCTGAGTTTTCCAAGTTTTCTGGCATATTGAGTGCAGCACTTTCACAGCATCATCTTTCAGGATTTGAAATAGCTCAATTGGAATTCCAACACCTCCACTAGCTTTGTTTGTGGTGGTGCTTCCTAAGGCCCACTTGACTTCACATTCCAGGATGTGTGGCTTTAGGTGAGTGATCACACCATTGTGTTTATCTGGGTCGTGAGGATCTTTTTTGTACAGTTTTTCTGTGTATTCTTGCCACTGATTCTTAGTATCTTCTGCTTCTGTTAGGTCCCTACCATTTCTGTCCTTTATCGAGCCTATCTTTGCATGAAATGTTCCCTTTCTCTAATTTTCTTGAAAAGATCTCTAGTCTTCCCATTCTCTTGTTTTCCTCAACTTATGAATGGCTAATATCAACTCATGAATGGCCATTTTGTTATATTTGACCTCTCTAGAAGTATCTGGCGTTCTATTTTCCCTGCAGAGCCTCTTGTTACCTGGCATGCAGTTCTGATTCTCCTCCTTCCTACCTCATGGGATGGTCCTCTTTTTTCTGTTTCTTGTCCTTGGCATCCACTCCTAATATGTGGAAGCAGGGAGGGTTTCTGCCGCAGTCCTGGGTCTTCCCAGGTGACTTCATTCCCACTCACAGCATTGAGAAGATGCCCTTTCTCCAGTGGCACTGTATGCCTGCTGTGTCACTACAGACACACCCTGGACACCACATATCCGCCTCTGACCACCTCTCCCCACCCTCTCATCCCAGAGGCCTCATCCTGCCTTGTCAGTGAGTCCATCACTGAGTGGAAATTGGTACAAGCACTCCACACTGCAAGTAGTAGTGATAATGTTCATCATATTCCATTCTTCAAATGGGTCACTTAACCCTTAAAACAGCCCTGTATGCTCACAGTTCAGATATAAGAAGTCAGAAGATTGTCATCCAAAAAATAAAACAATCAAAGTTAATTTTTAAAAGCCCACTAGACATCTGAGCTCACAAAGAAACCTAAATGAACGCAACTTCAGACAGTGATGAGCCACTCATAAGAGAGAAGTGACCCCTGGCTGCTGTCCATCTCTGCAGAGACAGGAGTTGGGGGAGCTGCTGGAGGTAGGCCCGTGGACTCTCATCTGCGGAGACTTGAGGCCACAGGCAAGCCCAGAGAAACCTTTCTGAGGGAGTCCCCATCTTCGCTGGACATTGGGTGACTGTAGCCAGGGCACAGGGATCCCGGCAGGGAACTGGAAAGCCAAGGTAACTCTGCAAAATTGTGATCACATTTACTGATCCTTCCTCCACTGCATCCAGTTAGCCGGCTGTTAAGCTCATCTAATAAAATTTAATATTTAAAGTCAGGTCAGGAGAGGACTTCCCTGGTGGTCCATTTATAGGAAACCGAAGGCCAATCAAAACTCATATGTGAAGTAGAGGTCAAAAATGTTTTGCCTGAGGTAGGTACAAGACTTAGCTAGAAATGGGCATAAGAAAACTTTCTGGGCTTAGGGAAATGGTCTGTATCTTGTTTTAGACAGTAGTTACACGAGAATATGAAACATCAAACCCTATACAGCCTGTTATTGTTCATTAATATTACTTGGGTAAAATTTAAAGCATTTTAAATTCCTGTGTTATAAGTACTGAAGTTATTCCTAGGTTTCAAATGAGAGAACCGAGGCAAAGAGAGGTTAATTGACTTGCCCAGTTGGTGACAAAACTAATAAGCAGAGCAGGTAGTCTGTCTAAAAAGCCTGCACGCTTAGTGAGAATGCTGTTGTCTCATATCCTTGCCCAGAAATTCTACTTCTAGGACTTTATCCTTCGGATAAACTTACTCACGTAAGTTTCAGACAACAAGGGCAGTAACTGTCCAAGGTTAGTAATTGCAGCACTGTTGATTAGCAGGGGTCTGATTATATAATTTATAGTATAATCACTTGATAAACTGTGATACAGGGGGAAAGGCCCGCTTGAGAAAACTTCCTGTACTTACATTGGATGACCTCCTAGGTTGTAGCACAGGGTGAAAGAATCAAAAGTATGTTTTATGTCCTACCGTCTGTTTTAATAAAGAAGGTTGCAGGGGAAACTGCATACATATATACTGTGTAAACCATGGGCATATCAGAAAGGCGACCTGAGAAGCAGATGAGATAGTTTCCAGGGCGAGGAGTTGAGTGGCTGGAGAGAGGGGTGTGAGGGAGACAGTTCAGTCCAGTGTACCCACTCTGCACTGTGGGTCATGAAGCCCGTGAGCATGTTACTTGTTCTGAAAATCAAGGAGCAGAGGTACAGTTTGGAAGTTCCTGAATAGCTCATCACACACACCATTGCCTGAGCCAACAGACTCCTGCCTCAGACTTCTTAGAACTGTCCCTCTCAGCAGCCCACACCTTTTGGCTTTAGGGTGTCAGCCTCATGGTGTCCCTTCACACCCATCAAGCCCACCACATCTTTCTGCAGGACCCTCTCACGGCCTCGGAGCTCACCTCCATTTCCCTCCATCTTGTTCGAGCGCCCAGCGATGCTCAATATTCCCTGGGTTTTGCCTAGAATTCCATCTCCACTTCTGCCCCGTAAGGTCCTTAAAAATAGACATCCATCTCAGTCACCCGTGGGTTATGAAGGGCTTGGTATCTGGCAGGAGGACCAGAGGCCTGCTGCGTGCTTCCAGAATTCAGCTTTCAAACAGGTCTGATGACACCCTCCCTTCCTCCCCTGGGGGCTGTTCACACTCTCAGCAATCTCTCCCAGAGCATCACCCTTCAGATGACTCCACACAGTACACAGGTGGAAGTTTTAAATGTATACTGTTAAATATTTCATTGTGTGTTAGAAAATACAAAACTAGGCCCTGAATCCTGTGGGATTTTAATTTTACCGGTATTATTGCTCAGACAAGTTTAAGTTAAAATAGAAGAATGATTCTTTTTTTTACACCATTCAGCAGTAAGTAATACCACTGGAGCACGAATATGGCAGAAATGGTGATGGTGACGCCCTGGCCTTTGGGAGATCCTGATGAACAGGAAACAGGGCCTCACAGAGCCGAGGCTCATCAGGGTGAAGGTGCAGCGTCTTGTAGACCTTTACCCCCCATCTGCCCCCGCCCTACCCGGAGCCTTTCATGTGGTTACCACCCCAGCCCTGCCTCACCAGGCTCGCTCTGCAGAACCACTGGCATTCTTCTTGCACATTTTCACCATTCTCTGATTCTGTTCTTGCCATTTCTCTGTGTAGAATGTGTCCCCACCCTCTCTCAGGTCTTGTTGCTGGGCAGACACCCCCGCTTAAACTTCTGGGTGGTACGAAATGGCACATCAGCTCTTAGATCTCATGAGTCTGAAAAATGGTAGAGTTTAAAGGTACATGCAACTCTGGAACCTGCATACAGAGCTGAGGTTATGGACATTCATTAAAAGGCACCACATACCATTATGAGGGGGGCTTCCCTGGTGGCTTAGCTGGTAAAGAATCCACCTGTAATGCAGGAGACCTGGGTTTGATCCCTGGGTTGGGAAGATCCCCTAGAGAAGGGAGAGGCTACCCACTCCAGTATTCTGGCCTGGAGAATTCCATGGACTGTAGAGTCCATAGAGTCGCAAAGAGTGGCACACGTCTGAGCACCTTTCGCTTGCACCATTACGAGGATAACAGCATCTGTGTGTCATTCCAAGAAAAGGGCTCGGAGGTACTGGACTATGAGGCAGGGCACACCTGTCTTTTGAAGGAGCCCAGCGAGTCCACTGCAGGTAAAGGAAAGGCGTTTTTAAAACCCCTTGTAGCAAGTACTTCCACCGGGAACTCATGCTCCTACCAAAGATTCTGACGACTTGGAGTGTCTTGAAAAATGGAGAAGTTTATGAAAGGCAGTCTAGCTTTAGGAAATAATGCTAGTAGGGATTTTAGATTAAAGAAGTAATAAGATCTGCCTAGGCAGAGTGAAGAGAGATGGTTTAGTAGTGAAAAATAAGGGTATCAGACAAGTAAATGGCAGGCTGGAAAATAAAAATGTGTCATTTGGATGGCAGGAAGCCATTGCCTGTTTTTCAAAAAGCCAGATATGAACTTATCCTACCATCTGTGTCATTTAACTTGAACATTAAAGGAGTGATCCTGGGATGGAGTGACGCTGGGAGGAAGAAGTGGTCCCGCTTGAAGATGAGGGTCCAATTTATGAGTTTACCTCAGGGACTGAAGTTCAAGTGTAGATTAAATATAAAGTGGAGAGCCAGACAGTTCTCTCAGAGTGGCTGGAAGTAACAAAGAAGAGCTGCGGACCACCGTTTCCGTGGAAGGCCGACACCACGTTCTGATTGAGAACTCAGAATTGGAGACAGACTGCTGTGAGGGTGGAGTGGAATCCAGCCCCATCTTCGCTGCCTTTAGTGTGGGGACAGGAATGAAGTGTCCCAATGGTGGAGCAGGGCTGCGGTCAGTCAGAGTCAGGAAAGCGTGTCCCCCATGGATGAAACCCTGAAACTGGGGGCCGTGCGGGAGGCCTGCCTAGCACGTCCCCTCATCCCATGTCCACCCCGAGCCCCAGTGTCATCACTCTAGATCAGTCCAGCCGAATCCAAGTGCCAACAGGAGGAAGTGGCCCTTATTGGTGTGACAGGCCAAGACCTCTGGTTCTCAGAAATCCACAGAGATGCCTGTTGCAGTGAGAGGCTTCGGGGGCGTGGGGAGGAGGGGTGTGGGCATCCTATCACCACCACCTGCGCTGGGCCCCGGCAGCAGGGAGAGACACCCCCACACCCCCGTCCAGCATCATGGCTGCTTCCTTAGCAGGGTTCTGGGAACCCATCTCTGACAAGACGCCCGGCTGATGCCTGGCAGCTGGCCTAACGGCTGAGTAGGAGCCAATCATGAGGACGTCCCTGGGCGTGGTCAGCCCTGCTGGTGGCACCCCATCCCCACCCCCTCGAGGCCACACTCCTGGCTCAAGAGCCCCCCGAGTCGCCTCTCATCTCAGCTCTCTCTGCGCTTCAAAAGCAGTTCTCATTGTGTGCTCCGGGGAGCACTTGGCTTGAGACTCCCTGGAACTGTGAACATCATGGAAGGCCAAGTGACTTATAGCAACATGGTAGATGTTTTGTCAGAATTCTGGGGTAGCCAATGGGGAGGTGAGGAAGATGCCCCTGTTACAGAGGAAAACGTGAACCACAAGGTCCATAATTCCTGGCATTGAACAGGTAAATTTAAAAATAGACAAATAAACCAGACAGACATTGTACAGTCCTTGTGGCAGACACCCTGAGGACAAAACGGGATGGTGTGTTGAAGGGTGAAGTTGAAGTTGAGATGCGAAGCCACCTGGCTTGGGTGGACCACACACATTTCTGTGACTTTTGGCAGCTGAGCTAAGACCTAAAGCCTGAGGAGCGTTTGGCCAGCAGGGAAAAAGCATTCACAGAAAAGGAACCATCAGCGTGAAGTCAGAAGCAGGAACAATTGGAAGGATTCGAGTCTGGGGGAAGGAGACCAGCTCGATGTCTGCAGTGGCCTAGGTGGGTTGTGCTGATCTCGTGGTCAGGGCCGAGAAGATAGGTGAATCAAGACAAGCAGAATCAGAAAAGTGGGGGGTGACAGCTGGTGCGAATGAAATGAGTTCATTTTCAAGGGGGAGGGTTTACAGGGGACCATGCTGGGAGCTTAGGCCTATAACCTCTTCTCTGAGAAGGGAGAAACGGGCTGCTGCTTGGGGGCAAGGTGTGGCAGGCAGTGGCTGGGGGCTGGAAAACAGTCGGTCACAGTGTGGGGTTGTTGCTGGGTGCAGTGAGAGGCCTGGGGTGGGCCCAGCTGACAGGATCACCCCCACACCGGTCATCATGGCTTGGGGGCTTTGCTCCAGGGAGACAGCCACTCCGCCGAGAGGCTGTCCTGCTTGGTTGAGACAGGACAGATGAGACCCCTAAAGAGTTGGCTGCTTGGCCAGTGACACAGGCAGTACAAGGACAAGACACCAACAGATGTGGAGGCACGACGAGACCGCAGTGCCGCTGGGAGGCAGTTGCGTTGGCAGCATCCACGGGAGAGAAGGGGATGGATGGTCTAAGGTTGCAGACCGGAAGTTGGGTTTAATCCCTCAAGATCCTTACATTACATAGCAGCTGCCTTTTTGTCTGTCATCCCTTGTCTGAGTCGTGAATCTATACTCTGAGTAAAGGGGAGATGGTTGGCAGGTAGTTTGGACTTCCGTGAGTTTTGATCCAGTAGCGGAACATCTTTTACCACTGCGTGTGACTTTCCGGCTTTTGTCTGCTTGCAGCGTGTCTCTGCTCTGTCCTGTGAGCTGCCAGCCCGGGCGTGTAGGGTGGCTTTGGCTCTGTCACAGGCCCGGTGCCTGTGTGCCTCTGACAGCACAGCCGTGATGGATGGAGTACTGAGCTGCAAGCTCTTAGGACTAATACAGCAAAGTCTGAACTGAGACATTTCCTGGCGCTGCCTTTAAATAATACTCATAACAATAATAATACCTTGTTTACAGACAGTACTTGATAATTTGCAGAGCACTTTCACTATATCATATCATTTCATCTTCACAATAACTAAGGCTTTTTGAAGACTTAGATCTTCCCTAAAGTGAGAAGTCCTGGTGCACATCCTGATTTAACTGTGGCAAGTGTAAAAAGTTTTTAAAACTAAGGATTCTGATGCTTACCTAAGCTCAGTAATGCTTCAGAATCATTCAATCGATTTCAGCTTGCACTTTGTTGGAAATTATGTAACTGCTACTTGAATCTTTTCAAAGATATTTCAGATTCAGAATATGTGAAAATGTCTAGCCATTGAGTTCATTGTCCTGATTAGGATGATGAGGGTGTGATTCCAAGAGCACAGCTTGACCCTAGGCCCCAGAAGGTTTATTCAGTGGGAAAGTAGACATAATCATCTCTGGGTTCTTCAGCCAGACTGGGATGCCCGGAGGAGGCTGAGAGACAAAGGACTTCCCAGCAGGGAGCTTTCCTGTGGGTTGGGAGAGTAGAAGGTAGCATTGGAGCTAGTGCTGGCCTGTGACAGGCCTCCAGAATCTTTAGCCAGGACCCTCCAGAGGGTCTAGGCATGTGTTCCACAGTGCCTCACAGGTTCTCCCAAAAGCACAAGCCCCTGACCCCTGCCTTCAGAGGCTCCTGCCTGGAGCAGCCCCTCGCAGAGGGCAGGAGGACCTGCACAGGAGCATTCTTTCTCCACCCAGGACTGGGGTGGCCCTGAGGCCCTACGTGGCCCAGCAGGACAACCAGTGGGGGGCCGATCTGTTACTGAAACACAGGTGGTGATTGGGAGTCTTCCTGCTGCTTGTTGGCATTTTAGTTTTATTAACTCTAGTCTAACACTAGCTCTTCACATGATCCTTTGGATTAGGAATGGGCTGAGGATAAAGCCAAATGACCTACTGCTCATTACTAGTGCACTCTTTTCCTGAACACACAGGTTTTCACAAGTTTTCCCATGGTGCCATCTTTCTAAAGAACAGCTTGAATATATTACAAGGGAGGCTGATGTCTGGATTATCAAATTATCTCATGGTTCTTTTGATGTGAAGTTTGGGCAGCCACAAGCCAAAGAACCCTTTCGTCTTAGAGCATGCTGCCAGCATCTGAGTGTCTCATCAGTACTCCAAAGAGGAGCACTGTCAGAATGTAGTGTGGAGCAGGAGTATGAGAACTGTGGCGTCTAAGCAGTGTTTCCAACTGGGGCTGGTGACGTGCTTTAAGTAACTGTGTTCTGATCGTTTAGGTCTCTTTTTGTAGGGCATCTTTTATGACCAAGACTGTCCAGTACCAAAATGAACTACATAAATTCCTCATCTGGGACACAGCTGGACAAGAACGAGTAAGTCACTCTTTACATTACTATGTGTCTTTCTGAGGCCCAGATGAAAGCACCAGTGCAACTGCTGGGTCCCATCACTTCACGTCACTTGCTTCCCTTCTCTGCGCCAGACACACATCTTCCCATTTGCGCGGCCAGCCCTTTCCTTCTCAATTGGAACCACGAAGTCCACTGATGGAGAACGTGCTCATGGGCACTGAGGGCGTTCTTACACATTTTAGTGTCTTCAAGTAAATGCTGACTAACAGGCCTGATGAAACCCCGCTCAGAGCATGGTGTGTGATTTGGGGGCTCCATCCTCGAGCAGAGATAATGAAAGAATTAGTGGTAGGAAGGGAGAGTGAAGCACATCTCATTATAGCCGCCTTTTAAGAGCTAAAGAGGGAACTTTAACAGCATATAAATTTTGAGACTTTAAGTGAAATGGATGAGCTAACACAGTGCCATGCAATAGTGCTTAATAAACACCTAATGATAAAGTTGTCCAGGATGGCTGTCTGCCTCGGGAAGGCCTGGGCCAGAAGTGGGGCCAGGGCTATGGTACCACAGTGCAGAAGAGGATTTGGCAAAGCCCACCCAAATGGGACGGGATCAGAAGGTGGGGGTGGATCCGGCTGCTACTGCCGCCCATCCTTCCCTGTGTTGAGTTCCCCGTTGAGGTGTGTCTGCAGCTGCCCCATTATTCAGCTCCTGTTTAATTTTGTTTTCAAAGAGTCTTATCAAAACAGAGCATGTGATGGATGCGCTGTGCTATCTTAAAGCCCTTAAAAGTATAGCGGAAGTAATCAGGAGAAATAGTCTGTCCTCACAGTCTTATCTGAGACAGCCTAGATGTTTCGAATGCTGTAAAGCCTGACAAGCATCATCACAGACAAATGGAGGAAAACACGACAAGCCGTTCTGTTGTCCTGGATGTAGACATCGCACATTTGTACAGATTTCACGTCTCAAGTTCGCTGTTTGGTTTCTTCTGCTTTGTGTTTTTTTTTTAAACCATTGGATATCACACCCTGTGTCCAGTTCTTCATCCGAGATGTATCTGCTTGGTCTCTGGTCCCCTCTGCTCCTGTGTTGTCTGGGCCATGTGTGCTGAGGTGGGTGGGTCTTGGCCAAGCATCACTCACCCATCTTTCAGAAGGGCCGCCTCCCATGGAGCCTCCCTGAGTATGTCCACAGACATAACCCTGGCATCCAGCCTGTTAGCCACAAACTCATGGCTCTTCATACCAGTAATATGTGTGCCCTTTCAGTGAATTCCACATCTCAGTTACCCCTCCCGTATATTTGATGAGACAGCAAAGCTCTCATCATATAGCATCCTACTATAATATAGATTCCATTATGCCTTGAATCAGAGCCTGTCCTCATAGACACAGTGATGTATAACATCTCTCTTTTTTTCAGAACGTAAAAAAAGAATAACATGAGGGTTTATGCCTCTCTCTTGCTGTTGCCATGATAGCAGGATTCTGTTGAGTTTTGTAATTAGCTGGTCTGCCTGCCTCTTGTTTCCCAACCTCTAATTGATTCTGCACCAGGAGTCATTGCTCTGAGATGCAAATGTCCCTCACCCCTACCTGGAGCTCGATCACTGAGCTAGCCAAGGGCTCGCGCTGGGAATACAGATGAGGCGGCCGGGCCCAGGAGGCCTGCCCAGCAGAGCCTCGCGCCGTGGAGACTGTCAGGAGAGGGACGCTGGCTGTGCACCCCCGCTCCAGCTGGTCATTGCCAGATCACAGGGTTTAAGAAGAACTCAGCCTCAACAGCGAATCATAGACTGTTTGAAATGCTGTGAAAATCCTCCAGGGCACCTCTGTGAGCCTTTCCTGCCTGTTTGTCCCAGACACAGCCTTTTGGGCCTGGATGGTGCCAGCCTCCGCCAGACTCTCCATCATCACCTCCTCCCACCAGTTCATCCTCCAAGACCAAACAAACCTTTCAGATCTGCCATCACCAGGCCAGTGCCTACCTTCACACCCAAGTCCCGTCCTTCCCTCTGCTTGGAACACCCTCCCTCCCAGTGTTAGCCTGGAGAACGCATGTTCAGCCTTCAAAACTGTCATCCCATTTTGCCTTGAGGGGGCTTTCCCCACCACCCCTGCCTTCCTCAGTTTGCCACAGGCCCGCCTCATTCAGGCGTGAGCCTGGAGGTGCTCCCTCCCCGTTAGCTGTCCTGACAGCTCCAGCTTCTGAGTCTACTCACTCCTCCCTGTGTCCACTGTCAGCGGTCTGCCACCCCTCACTCTCACCCAAGAGTTCCTGTCTCCTGGTCACGGGTCTCCCTGCCTTCCCTCCTCCCAGCCCCATCACCCTGTGTCCATTCTCCTCACAGGACCCAGGGGGCCCTTGTGAAAACCTCAGTC